TTATGAAGAACGTAATAATACAATTTCAAGTCAGAAATCGATACGTTCACCGTAGAAAAAATTCAAAATGAGAGGAAATCGGGCAACATCTGGTGTACTTAGCTTGATTCTAGTTGAAACCGGCTGTTTATTAATCATTCGCCCTGTGACAGTTTTACAGCATCAAGATTGAACTTAGAACGTAGGAAAACATCCTTAAACAGAAGAATGTACCTGAAATAATATTAAATACGTACACGATGCACTCATTGATCTAGTCTACACTCATCGGTCTATTGATCTCTCCGTTTGAGAATAGTGTTTTCATGATTATAATTCAGTAAGTGGGCGAGGAAGTAATCTGTCGCGCTAAGGAAGAACGCCGTATGAGCTCTTGGGCGTTGCCAAGTTTCCTCTCAGGAAATATTTATTTTGGGAGAAAGTTATGAATATTTTTCCTCCGATTGGTCAGAGAATTTTGTTCGTAATGGACCTGTTGCAAACTTTTGCTAGAGCAAAAATAAGAGTTGTTTCTTGTAGATAATGCCTCACAAATCACGATGAGCGCATCGGCAAAGTCTGAAATGCACTCATAACTTCACAATCTGCGTAAGAAATTTGCGTTTTTTTAAGCTTCCCGCTTCAAAAACGATACTACGGCACAGGCAGACTGTGAAGTTATGAGTGCATTTCAGACTTTGCTGATGCGCTCATCGTGATTTTCGAGGCATTATCTATAAGAAACAACTCTTATTTTTGCTCTAGCAAAAGTTTGCAACAGGCCCATTTGATCTAAAGCGTCTGAAAATTTCAAGGTAAAATATTCATACATTTCTCCGTAAATAAATCTTTTCCAAGAGGAAATTTGGCAACATTCGAATGCTCATACGACTTTTTTCCTTAGCTTGGTAGTTATCCTCTCGTGGTCTTTGAGGTATCAACGTGACAAGACGGGATATTGAGCAATCGTTTTCACATAGCCATTTATATCAATTCTCATATTTATTCAAGTGCCTAATACTGATATTTCCGCTTGTTCCCGTACTTGAAGAATCGTTTTTGAATTATGGAATAATGCAGCACGCAGGTTGCTCCTGATATCATAAACATCGATCCTAAGAAAATCTTATCTTCCTTACTGAATTATACAACCTTAAGTCTAAAACTGTTGCGTGGCACTTCCGTCTAGCTCTCATGTTGCTATTAATACCTTGATTACGAAACGGTGAATAAATTCGGCGGATTGTTTACTTTCGCGAAGTCCGATCGTCAAGAGATATGTTTTTCCACTGGAACCGAATGTCGAACACGGTTATCATTCGGACATTTTTGAAATCCCTCCATCGGCAAAAAATTACTCATTTTTACAATGGGCCACTAGATAGGGTACGAAGTTAAGAATCGTAATATATCGATGGGGAAACCGCAAAATTGTGGATCTCGGTTTGCGGCATTGCAGACTTCCCGTCATACTTTATGCCCTCCGTGGAAAACTACCGAACGTCATTTCTTGAAAGCTTCAGTGATTTTTACTCTCTGTGTGAAGAGTATTCTACAAAGATTTCAAGCAGAATAATGTTGGTTGGTTCTGTTTTTAAAACATGGTAGAGGTATGAGCAGGGATTTTGAAACTCTGCAACCGAGATACGAATTTTTGTAGTTCCACCGTCGATATGTTTCTTTATAGAAATGTAACGTGAAATACACAGGAGGAAAAAGTAACCGACATTTTGTGTCCATATAGGAAGTGGAGCACAAAGTAACGTGGACTTGGGGTTAATATTACTTGGTTAGTTTTTCTTTGGGTCATATTGACTAAATCTTTGGGTTACATTGATCAAATCTTTGGGATACATTGATCAAAAATTTCGAATGAAAATTTGCAACATCCATAATAAGTAGATTCGAGCCACCAGGATTGTTCCTGGGTCACCTTTGTGCGATAGTCCAATGCACTTGCCAAATACAAGTCGCAACATCTGAGTGATATCGAGAGTAACAAGAGTAGTACATCATTACAGCAGGACACTTAATTTCCTCCATTCCCTGATGCCGCAGAGTATAACCAACGGTTTCGATCGATTTAAAGAAAAATTTTGTCAATCAACCAAGTCCCCTTCTTGGCCGTGCCCATTATTACCCATTCCATATGACAGGCAACTACATGCGATCTGCGTATAATATATGGAAATGAAGCTGGTTCTCCTGCAAAACAAAATTTAGTAACAAAATTAGTTAGTTCTGAATGACATGAATGAAGAAACTTTTTCTTCTTCTTTTATTCATCAACCAATCTTATTAAAGCTAATTTTTTCTGTGAGCTTCGATTCATATCCGTCACGCATAGCCGAGTCCTCTCAGCTCGTCTTAAATACATCAGTATTTCAGCATCGCGGAAAAGAGATCGGTCCGGCTATAGATTCTTAGGTCCCAGTGAGAGTTAGGAGACACAAGGAGCTTAATTTATGCAAATCTAGTGTCAATAGCTGCCATCTAACGACGCCGCTAAGCGTTAAAGACGACATCTGTCGGTCAATGTTAGAACCTAATAAATCCACTTTTTGATGACCAACAAGATCCATATGAATGCTCGCATAACAGCTCTCATCGGAGTTAGGACATGTCAGGATTTTAACTTGACCGGTTTGTCTATTCAGAAGTCGCGTTGATTGTTTAACTACCGATGGATTAAATTTCATTTAATCGCGCGATGAATTCTAAATATATCCAGTATGGGTAATATCGTGTTGTTTACTGTTTTAAACGATTGAGACAAAATATTTTCTTTTTGATCTGATGTCTGGCTACCGACATCCATGCTTTAAAAGATGGCGCGAAACTCCAGAACGCTTCCAAAGCTGACGGAAAGGAAGAAACTGAAAAACTTCCGCCTGCCGTTTATAAACTTTTACCGACTTTAAGTCAACTATTTAGAGCATTCAAGAGATTCTCGTCCATTTGCGATTTCAGCCTTCACTCTGATCCTTTTAGAGAGGTTTAAATTTTAAATTTTATACTAAAGCTGCAAAATTCGTTGTTGATTCCTTCACATTATTCATTTTTTGGGTTGATTCTTGAAGGAAATTTTACGCGAGAAAATCAATAAAACCACTTCTGAAACGTCTCCGTTCCAATAACATCGATATGAACTTTTCCCAAATGTTCCCACATTTTTTCTCTCATTGTATCGCTTTACTAAGCGCCGCAGGTGAGGCGGTTGATGCACGAAGTCAAAACGCCTTCAATTCCGCGCGTATGCAACACGGACATCCACGGAGCTCGAATAGTTGCATCCAGGCGTTATATTGAAATTCGTCAAGTATCCTTGATTGTTTCTCTCTCGCCTTAATTAAATTCCAGCTATGTTTATTGTGCCGATGAGTAAACCATCACTGATATTTATTGCGGCCTTGTCAATTTTCCGAGAAAAGCATTATTTAAATGTATTATAACGTTGCCGACCCTTAAAATCACAAACAATTAGGTATCTAAGTATGACACGTAGGGTTTCTTTTAATCTACTTTAATGAGTCGTCCTTCGTTGGGATTTTTCTTGTTTTTTCCGTCGGGAAAACTGATTTTCACGTTCAAGTGCGAAATTTTCAAATTACAATCCTGATGAATCGCACGGCATTTGGAATAAAAACGATGACCATTCGTCCTTCGAGGAAATGGAATTCGACAGGAAATCTGTCTTATCACAAGCCCAAATACACGTTTTTGTAGGTGCAATGGCAAAATTGTAGCACCATGAAGTCTGTTAAATCTATGCATGAAAATCATATAATGTTCTACTCGGTGGCAAGTCATTTTTCCTAAAACATTTTTTCCTACTGCAATTTTTCATAATACTTTTTTCCTACTCATTTTTTGTTCCATCACAGTTACTCCTACGAGTGAGATGTCCTACTGGTTTTTTTCCTAGGGGCATTTGTCCGAAATTCAATTTTAAAACTAGGGGATCGAGAAAGTAAAAAAACAACGTAGGTACCTCACAAGTTAAAATTGTGGCCACATGCCCGTAAGTAGTGGAGATTCATCCTCCTCCTTATATTGAGGGTATAGAAGGCTCAGCTTGTAATGTCTCCTGTTCACGCACTTATATTCGGCTCGCTGAGAAAACTTTACTTTTTCTGAAAAATTTCCCTCTACTCTACTCATGTTTACGTTTCAATTATTATTGAATTATTAGGACAAAAACCCTTAGGAAAAAAGCCAGTGGGACATCTCACTCGTAGGACTTACTGTAATAGGAGAAAAAACGAGTAGGAAAAAAGTAATAGGAAAACCTGATGTAGGAAAAAAAATTAGGAAAAATGACCTAGCACCGTTCTACTCTTTCCCTCTTAGAATGTTGGCTGCGTCTATTAATTTACTAATTACTGATTTCATTGTTCCTCAGGTATTTATTTTTGGTACTGAAGGGACACTGGGACTGCCTGTTGGAACTACATCAGCAAAGGTATTTATGTCTTTTTGTTTAGCTATTAATTGATCTAAAGGCAGCACTCAAAAGAACATCATAGAAAGGGCAATTTTCGCCAAACTCAAGTAACGGCATTTTTCCCTGGCACCGCAGAAGTGTAGTTCGGTTCCTACGACCTAAAAGTTCAGTCACCTGAACCGAAAACTTTTTGTGCCGCACGAGCCGAAATTTTCTCCTCCGTGTGGCTGCAACTTTCGCATGAAGGATCATGCGGCATTTACCCTAGCACCGCAGTAGTGAAGTCCGGCTCCTACGACTGGAAACTTCAGTCACCTGGACCGGAAATTTTTTGTGCCGCACGAGCCGAAATTTTTTCCTCCGTGCGGCTACAACTTTCGCTCCGGCTAAAAAAAACCTCCACCGATGGGGAATCCCACCAGGACCGATGCTTGGACTTTTTTTTTCTTTTTTTTGCAAGAGAAACCGCGAACAGCGTGGCGCGGCGCGATGCAGCGTTAATCTGCAGCGGAGCCCAATGCCTGGCGTGAACGCCTCTGAACGGCGAACACGGCTGATGACGGTGAGCCGGGAGTTATTGAATTAGTATCAGTCCGACCAGTCGCCAGCGGAGACCTGTGCGTTGCCGTTGCGTTGCCACCTGTTTGATAACGCTCGCTCGATTGCCCCATGACTCTTTCTCGCTTTCGACCAGTTTCGTGTTTTCATCTTCCTGCTCGCCACCCGAACCTCGGAGCTTTTTCCCCCCGATCGACCAGTGCCACCAGCGCTTTTCCCCCCAACGACCAGTGCCAGTTCCGTCCCCTGTGAAATCTAACACGGTGTTGATTTAACCCCCCGCGGTGTCGATTCAACCCCTCGCGGAGTCGATTTAACCCCCGCGATGTTGCCTCCTTTCGCGGTTTGATCCACTTCAACAGGTTGCGCGTCGGTGTGTTGTGACCCATGTTTGTTGTGTGCTTAGTTGTGAGTGCCTTGTGTGGATTTTTAAATTCTTGAAGATTTGGATACCCATTTTCCTGAGGTAACGGCTGGTTTTTTGTTTGGTAATTTCGGTGTTCCCTTCACGAAAGAATGCAACTGCATTTCAATGTTGCCACATTGCAATTTGATCCGGTGAATCCTCGGCATTTCTAACTGAAAATTCCACAAATATCCGCGCTGAACTCTTGCTGAGATAAGACAGATTTTGGACACAAATTGCGCGCTTGGATTCTTATAAAACATTGAATTTTTCAAGTCAATTTTGCAACATTGGCATGGAGTTACGTTCTTTCGTCCGGGGAACAAAGATTTGTAATGGAGTGCGGCAAGAGCGCTTTTAAGCAGCCCCGTAGTCAGGGCTGGTAACCTGAAGGGGTAGGAGGGGGTACGTAGGTGGCGAGCTAAAATTTTAAGTCGAATTTGTGGGGTGTCGGGGCCTCCTTCAAATGGAAGAATAATCTAAAAACACAAACTCGAAACTATTAATACTTCGAGTTGGGACAAAACTAAATAAGCGTAAAGATTGATGATTACATCGCGAATTTGAGAATCACACAGATGAAGTTTGCTGGTTTTGTGCTTTTGTCAGCTTTAGACATAATTTATTTCCAATTCCTATGATAAGAGTACAATTTCTAATTATTATAGCATGAAACTCTGATCTGATGTTTTTGAGATCAAAATTCAGTACATAGCTTTGGCCGCTGGAAGTCGATATTTTCGACCCCAAATCGATTTCCAACTGGAAGACCGCGTTTTGCCTGTCTTCATAAAGTTTGCTTTGCCCTGACGCACCAAGAGACAGCGTCATACGAGCTTTTTACTTTCTCGGTAATTTTACTGGACCCCGGTAAAAACGCCAATATTTTTTATCGACTGTGGTGGAATTACCGAGATAAAATGGCAAAGTTACTGGGAATTGATTACCAATAAAAGTGGTATTCTTACCTGAAAAAACAGTAAAAATACCGGTTTTAAGGTAAGCTTACCAGTCTGTGTTGGTAAAATTACCAATAATTGGTAAAAAAAGTGAGATGGTAAAGGTACCAACGGACCTTGGTAAAAACGCCGAGAATTTTTTTTCAGTGTGAAAAAAAGTTCGGTCGTGTGAATTCGGTGTTGTACATCACCCCAACTATTCGGTTAGCCAAACGAAATTTTCGGTTAGTGTAACCGAACATTCGGTTCACATGAGCAAAGTTTGTTCGTCAGTGTTGACGAACCTGTCAGGCAGTGAACAGGCAGTGTTGCCAACCTGCTGAATCCGCCTCTGTTCTGCCGTGATAGCGAAGAGAACAGTTGGTTGAGTAAGTTGAGCGAGTGTCAAATTTTCGAAATCGAGTTTCCTTCAAAATTCGTCTGAACTCTTTTAGATGAAATCACTGAAACAGCCAAAACAGCAAAATTCATCACAATCGTAAAAAAACGAGCCATGAGAAAGCCGTAAAAGTGCGCAAAAAATGACGAAGTTTCCGGCAAGATAGCAATAAGTGACAATATTTCTTCAGAGAGCCAATGAAAACAGTGCTTTCAAGTAAAGTGCCGCCCTCCTCCGCCAATTTCTAACCTGAAAATGTGTTCGTTGTATGTCCAAAACGCAACCACGAAAGCATGCAGAGGATAGCACTTACGGCCGTCTTGCCTAACTATAACCTAGCACGAAAATGAAGAATACCCTTTATTTGTAATTGAAATAAAATCGGTCGATTGTTAATCATTCTGAACGCTTCCTAGGAGTTTTTCGGGCTATTAGTGGCAATTTGATAAAGAACGGAGGCTTCTCTCGATAAAATTTTCCGGTCAGAAGCCTCTGAGCCCGTTTTCTCAAACCTCCATTTTTGCACTTACTGCTCTCTTCGTTATCACGGCAGCGCATTGGCGGATCCAACGAGTTGCCCGGAGAAAAAAAACTTCGTGCGTGGGACCCGAAGTTGAGGTCATACGGATCTCTGAAGTTTCCTGATCACGAATCCGAAAACTTGAGGTCGAGTTGCCGAAGTTTGGGTCAGAAATCGAGGCACTTCGGTATGTACCGGAGTACTTTAGATGTGAGACCCGAACCCTCCGGTATATATCGAAGTACTTCAGGTGTCTGACCCGAACTTCGGCAGCTGGACCTCAAGTTTTTAGATACGTGATCCGAAAACTTCAGAGATCCATATGACCTCAACTTCAGGTCCCACGCACGAAGTTTTTTTCTCCGTGTGGCAACAACGTTTTCAAAGTATTGATTCTTAGAGGATGGAGGTGCTTCGACAAGAATCGACTATTTAACATAGGTATAACTGGACGTATTTCTATCAAACGGAACTATGTGCATTGTGACGTGAGCCCTGTAATACATATATTCTTATGGGTATCAGGGCTCATGTCGTAATGCTCATAGTTCTGTTTGATAGAAATACGTCCAACTGGAGGAAAGGCAGTGTTGCCAACCTGCTGGATCCGCTTCTGTCGAGCGGATGGAGGAAGGGATTTTCGGCCGTGTGGCCTGAGGTCAAGGGGGGCAGCGGGCCCCTGAACTCTCCCTTCTTGCCGGGTGCCGACTGCCAAGCTATGAGAGGGGTCAGGGAAATCCTTTCTGAGCAGCGCGCGGCGGCGCGCGAGGCGCGAGGACAGAACTGACCTTAGCATTAACCTGCCACCTCATGCCGAACACTTCCTAGCCTCCGACGGAGAGCGGTTCCGATTCGCCGGCTCACTCCGCCGTGCCCAAGAAAAAAAACGCCGTATGAGCCTTCAGGTGTTGCCTGATTTCCTTCGAAAAATCACGAATTTTCAGGAACATCTATTCATATTTTCCTTCCGATTTTTCAGACGATCTCGCTCGTAACTTGATCTTAATAGTGCGAAAATATCAACGAAAAACATTCATTACTTTCTTCATAAATAAATATTTTCTAATATGAATTTTGGCAACGTTCGAAGGCTCATACGGCGTTCCTCCTTAGCACGACAGTGATCTGATCTTAATCGCCGAGCGGCGACAACCTTAATTTGGGATCAATGAAATTCGGAAGTTTAACGGAGACGATGACTGCGGTTTCCAGTTATTGAGGTGAGCCTGACGAGACGACGAGACGCGACGTGGCGCAGTGGATCGAGTCGATAGGAGAGGTCGGATAAAGTTTGGAAACTTTAAACGCTCATAACTCCGTTCATACAAAACTTTGAGGTTCGAAAAGTGGTTCCATTGGTTTCCTCGTAGAATTTTCTGCAAGGGGCACCCCTTAAAGTTTAAAATGTGACGAAGTGAACGTACAAATTTGCAGTTTCAGTCAACAATTTCATGTCCGACCTTTCTGATTGACTCGATCTACTGTGCGTGGCTTGGCTGCGTCAAGAGAAATCGCGAAATCGCGCCGCGCGCATCAGGTGCACTGGATTTTGCGGCTTAGCGCAAATGCATATCGATGATACGTCAGTCGATCCACGGTTTCGGTCGATGGAGGGAAAGGGAGGGGTACACTGGAAAAAAAGTCTCTTGGATCCAGAATCCAGGCGCTTGTAAAAAATTTGACAAGAAAAAAACCCTCGATTCAGTTTGATTTTTACTTGGATAGAAAGGAACTCCGCTTAAATGAAGAGGCTTGGCTCTCGATTCTAGCGAGAATCCGATCGAGTCACGAGTATTTTTTCTTGTCAATTTTTTTCAGCCTGGACTCCGGATCTAGGAGTCTTTTTTTCCAGCGTTTTGATAAGGGTTGTTTTTGCCGATTTCCTCCACTCCACGATGTTTTGCTCATTGAAGGCCTGTATGTTACGGAATTCGTTCTGATTCGATCGTTTTCGGTCTGTTTTCGGGTCTAACACTGACCTAAACATGGGTCTGAAGGCTGATTTTGGCAAACAATGTGGGTCCTGCGGGTTAGCGATCGAATGTCGAAAAATTGGCATTTTTCGCCAAAATCGATCTTTTGACCCACGTGTAGGCTGGTATTAGACCCGAAAAAAGACTGGAAGAGACCAATTCACAATGCATTCCGTAAAGGATAGACCTTCAATGGGCAAAAATCGTCAATTGGACGTATTTCTGTCAAACGAAACTATGTGCATTATGACGTGAGCCCTGTTATGCATACGTTCTTATCGGTCTCAGAGCTCATGTCTTAATACACATAGTTCCGTTTGACAGAAATACGTTCAATTGAGGATTAATTATTCAGCTAGGGTGGGGTGAGTTCATGATCACCCAGATCCTATCGTTTGGTCTGTGACTTGGCTTGAAAAAAGTAACTTTAAATAACCCAAAGTAACGCTAAGCACAGGAATGTTTAACTCCTTGTTATCTTCAGATAATACCAAAAAAATACTGAATGAATATACGTATTCATGTTAAAAGAAACTAAGGGCGCAGAAAGTTCCGAAACGCACACGGTTTCCCGTCATTTGGTCTACCGATTTTGCCTCATGGCATGTTGCCGATTTTCTTCACAGTAAGTTTGCTATTTTCTTCGCGGCGGAGCATTAGATTTTATGGCAGAATGTCCGATTCCCGTACGTAAAACGCACAAGTTCTCGTATTCTTTTGATGTATTGAGAAAAAAAGAAAATAAGAAAAAGGTTATCATTTTTTAAAATTTGTCACTTTTTTCCGCGATCCTGAGATCGGGCACTCGTTGTACCCCCGAAATGAAGTAAAAACATAACAGCATAATTGAATCAGCAAGAACGAAAATACACCAACTCAGAAAAATGAAAATAATTAAGACACATATAAAACTGCAAAGTAGGTGATGAAGTTAGTTTAAGAAAAAGATTTTTGCTGCTGAAAGACAAGTACTTATGGCCACTTTAAAGGTCCAAGTTGGACCAGACGCGCTAACTTCAATGACCTTTATGTAAATTAACTGTCTTTAATAGAAATTGAGTATTTTTGAGTCACCGAGTTGCTCTCACTGATTCAATTACGTTGAATATATTGCGTAAATACTATCATAATAATTGTTAGCATTTCAGCATGATTTCAAAATTGACACCAAATTGAGTCAATAAATTCAAGAATTCCCGCAAGTATTAGGCAAACATTGCCCGGATATT